TCTTAGGATTTTTAATGACACATTTTGATAATTTTTTTGAATGTTAACTTTTCATAAATTTTTGGATTTTTAGAATAATAGGGATTTTTAATTTGTTTCTATCAATAAGTGAACGAATAAGCTGCGAATTTCCTTTTAACACCATAGTTTACAATTGTGAATGGGGAGGGCTTTTTATTTGTTCAAAATAACAGATCCATCGAAAGCTTAGATAGTAGTTTTTCAATTCTTCTAAAAAGGCTATTTTGTTAAAGCTATTTGAATCATTTTCCTAAAATAATAAGGTGCATTTTTAAAGTTAAATCTACTGCCATACGCAGCAAAAATCAATGTTAAATCAAAATTCAATGTCTAATTTATTAAAACATAGGCGTAAATTTCTCAAAATGCAGATCTAGTTTTTTTCAAAATGAAGTTCTAATTTTTCAAAACGTAGTTCAAATTTTTCCAAATGTAGTTCTAATTTCTTTAAAAGGTAATTCAAATTCAAAACGTAGGTCTGACTTGATCAAACGCCCTCTCCAAATTATATTTCAAAACGTAAATCAAAAACCAGCCTGGTTTGAAATGCATTTTACAACAACACTAGAAATAGACTTTTGCAGCGTATGGCACTAGACTTGCGAAATGTAAATCAAAACTAATCAGCCAAGCATGACGTGGGCCTGTTCCATTAGTGATGGGGGAATCATTTTTCGCTGCAGTCCAATGCCGTGAACAACGCTTCCCAGTGCGTCTGCTAATTTTTAATGGTCAGGGTACCGCGATCACGAGCCCTATGATTGGCATTATAGGTTAGGCTTATGTGGGCTGGGATTTGCAACAAGGTCTTGGACGAGGCCTCTAGTAGGAGGACTAGGCCTCTATACTATAGTAGGAGGCCTGGTCCTAGTCTAGGCCTATAATATAGTAAAATTCTGTATAAGTAGTCATATGATTACAGGTTTACATTGTACCAAGATCGATATTAACGATCGCATTTATTTTTCATTGAAAATAAAAGAAAATTTTAAATAATTTAACTTAAGGATTTTAAAATATTCCAAACCTGTACGCTTAAAAAAATAAATAAAATAAAAAATAAATAAATGAAGTTAACTTAAAACACAAACAACCCGATAGGATATAAAGTTTGAGAGAAGTTTTGGTATACTGTACCTTATTTCTGAAGTGCCATTCGTTTTGGGGTTGCTACAATCAGGAGTTACAATCGATCCAACAAAGGAAAAGCACTATCCATTTCCTTACATTTCAAAACGAATGATTGGATGCTATTTAAATTTGCTGGAGATTGAAAAAATTAACTCCGTTGTTAGAGAACATAGAATGGTACATG